AAGCAATGACGGAAAATGACCCTGCTGAAAAATGACACCGCCTCTTCCTCCTCCCCTCTTTCCTGCCCTGAGATAATAAATTCTTTGCAGTCTGATCTATTCCCAGATCAAATTGTCCATGATGCTTCATAGGTGTGTGTTCTGAAGCAGCCAGGAGGGCAGCCTGGGGATGGGGAGAGGTGCTGGAAAGAGGTTCTTGTGATTATGCGACTTTAGACTTCTACAATAAATGGCCAGTTGAGCTGAGTTGTAACCTTACTGGTGTGTCTGAGCAATTTGAGTTGCACCGTGGGAAGGAGGTGCAGGCCAGGCCAGGGGCTGTCATTCCCCTCCCTGTGCTGCCATGCAGGTCGCCATCGCCGGAGCGCCCGTCACGCTGTGGATTTTCTATGACACTGGTTACACGGAGCGCTACATGGGCCACCCGGACCACAACGAGCAGGGCTATTACCTGGGCTCAGTGGCCATGCAGGCTGAGAAGTTTCCTTCTGAGTAAGTTTGGCTCTGGCTCTTGCCTTCTACTTTTCCTCCCCAGAAAGTTCAAGCCCCATGGAAGCTTTTTTATCTCTTTGTTCTGGGCAATTGAATCCTCAAATCACAAATGCTACTATTAAATCCTAAAAATAAGATAAATAAAAAGAAGACCAAAACCCAACACTAATAAATGTAATAGGCTTGAATTAACATTTGCATAATTGCAGGCCATTCCATGTTATTCCATTTTATCCTAGCTGTAATTAAAGACTATCTGTTATGTCTAAAGAAATTGCAAACTCATCCTCAATGATATGATTAGCACTTTAGAGCCACGTTAAGCTAGACAAGAATTAGTTGACCAGGATGCTTTCTGCATGCTCTAAGGCTGTAGCAGCACAGAAAATCAGCAGTGATTCTGAGCAGGTCTTGTATTGTCCAAGCTAGGACATACTTCTCAGAGTAAAGAAGATGCACAGATAAAAGGTCTGACCATGCTGTACATGTGCAGGAAGAACTTCTAGAAAAGGAAAGACTATGTTTGGGAGGTATGTCCATCCAGAACGATTTGCAATAGTGAAATCACTGCTTTCAATGCAAATGTTTTCCTGTGTTGAGTGTTTTTGAAGGGATGTGTGTGCACTGAAATATCTGGCAGGTTCTGGGGTGCTGTCTAGAAATGTTTGTCTCTTGCTTTTCTCAGACCAAACCGTCTGCTGCTGCTGCATGGATTCTTGGATGAGAATGTTCACTTTGCACACACTAGTATTTTGCTCAGCTTTTTAGTGAGAGCTGGGAAACCGTATGACTTACAGGTAAGGCCAGAACCAGGATGTAAAGGTAATGTCTGTCTTTGCCTGAGGAGTCCAAAATTGGAACTTGTAAGGTGGCTGTGCTGGGTAGTCTGGAATTCTAGGATAGAACTGTAGTATTTGAGCCTAACTTTTTTTTTTCTTTTAAGTTTTATGAGTAAACAAACAATAATTGGGCAAATGGGCAGTTAAGAGCAGTTAAGTCTGCTCCCAAGGAGATCTGCAGTTTGGAGGCATCACAGCAGTGTTTGCTCAGTGTGGATCAGGGTTGTGCAATTAATTAAACCCTGCTGGCCTGTGCAGTTGTAGCCCAGGTATCCCACAGCCTGCTGTGGGGCTGGGGGTGGGCTGATGTACCTGAGGGCTCTGGGCAGTGGGGCTGATCCCCTCCAGCATCACCACAGCTGGTTTGTCTCTGGGTTCAGGCAGTGGAGGATGGGGAGTGTGAGCTCAAGTGCAGGGTTAATGCAGGGAGGTTACATGAACACTGGATGTGGCTCTGGGGACCAGTTGAAATGTTGATGCCCACAACTCTTGTGGATACTTACAACTTTCTTTTATATTTTAGATCTATCCTCAGGAGAGACACAGTATAAGGGTACCTGAGTCAGGAGAGCACTATGAACTCCACCTCCTGTATTATCTGCAAGAGAACCTGGGCTCTCATATTGCTGCCCTGAAGGCAATGTGACTGACCTCTGCAGACCTCTGCTCCACTGGCTGCTTCACCAAACAAGGAGATGTAGGAAACTAGAGAAATATGATGGAACGTTGCATTTTGGTGCCTGCCACATGTGCACATACACACACGGAGACACTTTTTTAAAAGTAAATTTGGTGCCATACAGGAAATTAAAATATGGTGACCTGATAACTTTAAAGCTTAAGATGTAAATAAAATCAAATGTCTGTGGTATAATGCAGTACCATGGGTGTTCTCTTGGGGGAGGAGCTGAAACTGAAAATAATGTACTTCTACAGCACCAGATCTTCACTTTTTAAAAGCATTATGACACAACTGGTGTGTTTTTAAGGTGTGTTCTTTGGTATCTTATTGCATAATCCTGGATGATTTACTCACTACACAGCGAGAGTTAACTTAAATGGTTCCAACTTGTATTATGTTTAAATGCTATCATATGGCTTTTATGCTTCATGAGGGGGATGTGTCTCACTCCTTAGAAGCTGGTCACGAGTTAGATGCATCTAGATGTGAATTGCTTTTTAAGAAGAAAAACTTCTAAGCTGCCTCCTAAAGAATTTTAATTTTGGATTCAGTCCTGTTGATGACAGATTCTTTTTGATAATTTCTTCTCTTCCCAGGATAAATCATTCTCTTCTTTCTGCAGCTTGAGATCCTATCCTGATTGTACTTGATTTCAGTGGGAGGTGAAATTGTATTTTACTGTGACATGGGCATAATAATCTTTTATTCTGAGATGCAAACTAACTAAAGTCAAAGAACTGAATCTTACTAGATTTTAAAACAAGCTTGAAAGCACAGCCCATTTCTCCTTGACATTTTTCCCTGATGTTCCTTCTGGAGCTGGTTTTGCAATACTGTTTTTTTACTGTCACATCAGCATGATAGAAGTTTATGCTTCCTGTTACAATTTTAAAATTCAGTACTCTAATTTGAAGGTCTACAGAGAATTTGTTGAGGAGAGACTTTATGAAACACTACATATGAGGCAATAGGAACTATTTCATTGGATTTCCTGCTTTATTTGAGGGACAATCTTCCAGGTTCGTACTCTGTTCAGTCCTCCATTTCTGGGCCCATTCTAGCAGTGCTGTGTAGCATGATTATGATGCTGTGTTTAAGAACCCCCCTTCTGTATAGCTTAAGGGAACCCCACTAAGCCTCAGCATATGCAATCCCACTTGTGTTTTTGCTGGTGAGGTTTTAAGGAAGCAGCAGACTTGGCTGAGAAGTATCATTGGTGTGTGAAGTCACTTTTAACTTGCAACAGGTCATTTAAGATAGAAACCCATAGCAAAATGGTTCTCTTTAATCCAGGAAATTCTCCCCTTGGGGTTTGCCTCCGAAACTCCTAAAAGTTTTAATGGTTTTCTTAGAAACCTAAGAACTTCCTTTTCCTTCTGTTTTGGTGCTAGAGAGAAGCAGAGCATGATTTTCTTTTCATCTTTTGAAAGTCTGGAATCACTCTCGGTGTTTATGCTCTCAGTACTCCACATGTTGTAACCTTGTGTTTTCCTGGCTTTTGTACAATTCAGCTTGATCCTAAAACTCTGGGATTTCACACAATCTGGCTGTAGTGGCTCAAACTGCATCACTTTTCAGTTAGGCTGCTGGGCAACGTGCACCAAAGCTCTTGGGGCTGGTGCAGTTACATGGTTGTAAAATCCATGTGTGAGAACTGGGGCTGTTTTTGGCTTATACAAAAGATGGCCAAAGCAAACAGGCATGTAGTAAATGCAACTTTCCTCCAAGGTGGGAATGTTTGGTTTGGGCTGTTTTCTGGTTTCCAGATCACAGTGATTATAAGCAGATCAGTTAAAATGCCATTAGCAGGTCAATAACAGGCTTAAAGTTTTATTTTGGGAAGGGCATGGCAGGAAGGAACCCAGCTCCTGTAATGTCTTCTCTTAGTATCTGCTTGTGATGGCAGTGAACCCAGCATCCCTGTGGAATGTGCTATGGATACATGTGCTGATACATTTGAACTAGAACAGCACAACAGTGAGTAGAGACAAGTGTAACAGTTTGTATGGAATTCCATTGTGTGTATGCTGTATTATATATACATATATATACATATATCTATATCTGTGCATATATAAATATATGTATAAAATTACCCATGGATAGTATCACCTTTTCCAGGGTTGTTTATATTTTGTTGACTATTAAATTAAATTGCTTTTTGGGGTGTTTTTGTTTTTTCTAGAGGTGATTACCCTTGAATGTAAATGCATATGATTTTTAAGATGAAACTGATGCTTTTGTTTAAAAAACAGAGCAAAAATGGCCTTTATCAAACAGTGCTTTTTTTGGGAACTGAAGAACTAAATGTTATGCAAGCAAACCAGGCTAGGTTTTGATTTAGCACAGGGTGTGATTATAATTGCTGACACAACTTTTTTTAAGAATGCATCCTTCCATAGTTTTAAATATATATATTGAAAAGCTGTTAAAGTGCAATGTACTGTAAGTAATGTATTTTGCAACATAAATGATGTATTTCTTTCCTACTTTTTTTTTTTCTTTTTACAGTAGTTAAGCACTTTAAGACCCCATGCTCTTACCCTGTGGAAGTGCTGGGAGGATTTATCACCAGAGTTTTGTAGTTCTTGCAAAAGGCATCTGCTTGTAGGTGAAGGTTTGAGAGATGCCTTACATGAGATCTGATCCAGCCCTGCACAGTCAACCACTGAGTTCCCAGTGACAAGGGAAGGAGGGCAAAGCCCATTGCAATCAGGACTGCAGAGGTAGGAAGGTATTAGAGCTGAGGGCTGGTGCATCAGTATTTTGGGGGGGAAAATGGTCCTGTACTTTGTGAGGTGAAGTGTTGGTCTGGCATGGAAAACGGTGGCTTTGACCTGCTCTGTGCTGCTGGAGTTGGCTGCTCTGGGATGAGGTTGTACCTTGTAGTCCAGGAGATGGTGTTGTCACTCAAGAAGAGGGTTCCAGCCTGTTTGATATTTGGGATTATACTTTCTCACTTTCTGCATGTTAAAAAATGTCTTGGTTAACATGAGTTTTAAGCAGAACTAGTGAGATCCGAGCAAAGTATGTGCAAGGGAGGTTGCGGAGAAAAAATGTGTGAGGAGAAGCCATCCCTGTTGCTCCCAAAACAGACATTTTATGTCCTGTTGGGAGATCTTCTGCCTTCAGCAGAGGTCTGCTTTGTGCCCAGCAGGACATTGCTCTGAGCAGGAGCAGGATTGAACCTTCATTGCATGGTGGAAATGAGTTGCACAGGTATCTTTGAGATGAATGTTTTAATTTCATATATTTTTTTAAAGATATATGAAATATGGGGATCAGAGTGATTAGGTACTGAAGTTGATGAGTGTTGCTCTCAGGAGTTTCTTGTCGTTTTCAGTGACTGGGATTGGTGGGGGTTGTTTCTGGGGGAAGCAAGTTCTTTCACCCTATATGAAGGCAGCTTCCAGTAATTCCTCTTGAGTGTGCAATGCTCAAAGTGATTTGGTTTCACCCTTTGCATTGGAGTTAGACCCCCTACTCTGCTGCTTTGTTTTCAATTATCTCTTTTTATTCAGAACAAAGTATAATTAGTAACTGCCCAGAACTGCTTAATTTTTATAAACTCAGTTAACTTATTTCTTAATCAAATAACAAGTTCAAAGCACCAAGTAAAGCTTTTAGAATCTACTAACTTAGTTACATTAGAATGGAAAATGCATTCCCTAATTAGTAGTGGTATTTTGGAATTGGGTCTGGAAAGACTTTCTGAGCAGGATGGTGTAGTAATCCTTTAGTCCTGGAGCACCAAACCTCTGAGCCTGTGTGGCACAGCACAGAGAATTCACCAACTCTGAGCCTGGGGATCCCAACCCTTATTCCTGCCAGGAGAAGTGGGTCGTGTTCTTGCTGTGTGTGTCTGTGTGTAAGGCAGGCTGGTTTGCTGCTGGTGTGATGCTCAACTTTTGATGAGGCAATAATGAAGTATAAATAAATAACCAATCAGATTAGGACACTGCCTTGAATTGCCTGTTTACTTGAGAACCAGAACTCTGTAAAGACTTCTTGTGTGTCCCTCACGGTTCTCCGGACCGCTCCTTTGGAAGGGGAAGAGAGATCTTCATGTGGTTTTTACTTGGATGTTCTGCACAGTAGAAGTTCAGGTGTTTAATTTTAGAACATGAAGTGCCTGCTGTTTGCGTTAACAAAATTGCATGTCTCACTCCAGTGGGTTTATTGGCCTCTCTCCCTCTTCCCCCCACCTTTCCAGCTACATGGCTTTTAATCATGTAAAGTGGAGACTTCAGTTTTGCTGCATTTTATTACAAAACCTTTGTTGCAATAAAGATGCTGCTAAATAAATGGAATTAAATGTTTTCCCCCCTCCCGCTATTTTTAGCTGTCTCTCTTCTTGTTTTAGTAGTTTGGGGATAGTTCAGTCTCTTCTCTCACTGTGCTGTGGAAAGCAGCAAGGATAGAAATGTGTGTGTGTTTTCTGTACGTGTTGGGTGTTTAGCTAAAGCATCTGTGATTTTTCCTGTCCCTTGTGGTTAGGTAGATGGTTACAAACAGGAAGATGAGTCATTTGCTTGGCATAACTACCTTCCCCCTCCTGAATGTTTCCCTGTGGATGTGTGAGGGGCCCTGGGCAGCCACCAGCCGGAGCTCTCGCACCAGCTACGGCACATCCACAGCTTCCCTGGCCAAGATGGGGTGGGGGAGGAGGTGGCTCTGGTGCCAAGGCTGGAGGACAGAGGCACCTGTGTGTAGCAGATGGGCTCTGCCAAGACATGTCTTTTCATACAGTCACCTCATGCTTGGCCTCAGATACATCCTTTGGAGCAGTGTGTGCTTTGCAGGCACCTTGGTTCCACTTAGTGCTGCCCCAAAAGGGCTGGAGGGGTCTCAGGGCAGCCACAGTTCTGGTTTTCACTCATTCATTCCCAATTTTTCACCCGTGGGGAAGCACTTCCTGCATTGGTGGCTTTCAGAAATAAACTGGGAACTAACAGTGTGTTGATAGGTTGCATTGTGTCTCCCTCTGGGGTTCGTGTAGGCCCTACCATAACATGGCAAAGCTTCGCCAGGAGCCTTCAGCAGCCCTTGTGCAAGACAAGCTGGGTTGTGAGAGTCTCACCAGCATCTGGCCATGGCCTGTTGTGTTGTGGTTGATGGTGGGACTGTGGGTGCCTTTGAGCTACATGTGTAGCTGTGTCTTGATCACCAGAGAGCAGGGAGGGAGGTT